TCCACATCCTCCGTTTGTCACCACTGTCTCTACATGCACTACATGTGTTTCCTGTTATTCTGACTTCACATGTGAATGTGTGTTTGTGTCCAGGGTCACATGGAGGGTGAGGTTTGGGGTTTGGCGCCTCACCCCCTGCTGCCCGTCTGCGCCACCGTCAGCGACGACAAAACGCTGCGACTCTGGGAGACGTCGGCGAATCACCGCATGGTGGCCGTTCGCAAGCTGAAGAGAGGTCAGAGGAGCATCACTGTGTGAACTACCAGCAGGTTTTATGTGTTTTTAGTTGCTCCCATCTCATTTTTATTCACTGTGGGCTCATTTCACTGCAACGTTAAGTCCTGCACCTCCACGGAAACATCAAGACAGAGAATCAGAAATATCCTCTGTGCAGCAAGATGCAGTTACGATTCCTTCACTACTGGCTGCAAACGATGAGCTCAGGGCTGATTTTCAGTTGCTTTGTCTATAAAATGACATAAAATAGTAAAATGTGTCCACGATAAAACCAAAACCTTCAGTCTACAAACTAATCGGACAAAGAAAAGCCTCAAGTCGTCTCATAGAATCATCACATCTGAGAAGCTTTACCAAGAAAATGTTTGCAAGAAAAAAACGCCCAGAAGCTGCTGCTCAGAGTTCAGAGGGTTAAACAGTCATGTGCTGCTTCCTTTGGTCAAAGCATTTTAAAATCAGACCTGCCTCACGATCAGAAGCCTCTGATTGGTCGACAAACTCAACCCAATGCAGCTAACAGCAAGAAAAGCAAAAAAACAGATAAATGCATCACGTTTATTATTGTTTAGTCGATCTGAGCACGTCAGGCCTCACAGCTGAGCTCTGCCTTCAGTGGAGGATGTTCAGAGATGGAGGTTTAAACATCAGACTACCAACAGAAGCTCACGACTAAACCGGTTTTATTCCCAGGCGGTCGCTGCTGCGCCTTCTCCCCCGACGGTAAGGCGCTGGCGGTCGGCCTGAGCGACGGCGGCGTGCTGGTGGTGAACGCCGACACTCTGGAGGATCTGCTGAGCTTCCACCATCGCCGGGACGCCATCTCTGACATCCGCTTCACCCCGGGTGAGCAGAAACGCACACAGACACGGCGCTGCAGGAAGGTTTCAGGATGTAGCCACGCCCCAAATCTTTAGGTGAATCTGGTTCCGAACAAAAATGGAGACGTTTATAAAAATACCCTCAAAATGTCAGAAAATCAAATCTCCATTGTTCTCGATTGCATGTGCACCTATAGTGCAAAACTAAAACACATTTAATTAGTATAGACGGTTTAATTGAAGCAGATTTTCACTCTCCAGGAGCTTCCATCACTCCACGTATGGACTTCTGTCTGATCAGGAGTTTGGTAGAGTAGAAACAAAACAGAACTAAAGCTACAGAAGAACGTTTTTTATTCTTCAGACTCAGGTAAATACCTGGCCGTGGCGTCGCACGACAGCTTCGTGGACATCTACAACGTTTTGAGCAGCAAGAGGGTCGGGATCTGCAAAGGGGCGTCCAGCTACATCACCCACATCGACTGGGACGCCCGAGGTAACAAACATTTATCATCATCTGCTGAAACACCAGAGAGCTGAACTAC